AAACTAGATATGGGAATTGTTTCCATGAGCATGTTTTGCAAGAGCTGAGGGCAAAAGTTGTGTCGCTGCCTGCCCCAACAACCACGCTCACACAAACTAGAAGCCATTACGTACCTCAGTCATCTATTTTCCATGGCTCAGTGTACCTTCCTGTCTTTGGAGCAAGAGTCGCACACAGAACAATGTCCCATTAAATTAGGAGGGTCAGGAAGTCAAATCACCAAGGTGACCTGAACTTCCCATAACTCTTTCCATGTGCTTTGGACACACATCCAGAACACTCTTACATGCTAACCCTTCATTTGCAAACACAGTTACTCTTTGCCGTCAGACTGGCATAAAAACAGCAGGAATTCCAGTAGGAACTTTGAAGACTAGCAATTTTCATGCTCTGGCCTCTGAGTAGAAGATCTGGCTTTAGGTCTGCAGCACCTCTGCACAGCTCCTGGTCAGGAGCTTTCCCAGCCGAGTGAGGCTGAACCAGTGACCGGTTCATGTCGGGGCTACACAGAGCGCAGGAGGCAGACCATCTCCTACGGCCAAAGGGAGTCTCCAGTTAACCCAGGCTGCAGGTTTTGGATGATGTGAGGAGGCCAGAGATCTCAAACTGACCTGCACACACATGCAAACCCCACACTGAGAGACGAAGGCTAACAGCCGGGCCGGCGGCGCTGACCACCACCATGCACCATGGCGTCACACCAGAGTGACCCTCTAACAGCAGGGTCATGTCAGAGACTCAGTGAAACAAACCTCCACTTATCTTGTGTTAGAAACAAAGAATAACACATTTGAGCTTGGCAGGTACATTCTTACACTCCCTCTTGTCAACACAGCTGTTCAGGAAAGTCACATTTCCTCCTCCAAGGTCAGGTTTACCCAGGATACTGCAGCACAATACGTCCATGGAATCACCATCATCACACTGCAAGTGAAAACAATAGACTGCCCCCACCCTTAACACACATACTTTCCAGCTAACACTTTGATGCTATCATCTTCCTGCTGGGCAGATGGTTTTCCAAGACTCTGAAGAATCCTTCCACTTGTGCTGTGAGTGGATTCATCAAACCACAGAAAAACATGTTCATTTTCCACTCTTAACCAGCCCCCACCGCCACTCCGGGACTCCTTTGTTCTGGCTCTGCTGTGTTCCTGTTTTGACCATTAAGGTTGTCCAGAGAGAGAGGAAAAGACAACACACACAACCAGTAAAGCATGTAGACTCTCAGGAGCCCAAGGGGAACCCCTCACCTAGTTCCTCCTTCATTGACAAAAAGAGCTTTGTATTCGTGAGGCAAACAGGCCAAGTTAGTGACAGAGACACATAAATAAGTGGAGCAAGAAAAGAGAGGGCATGTTAAACTGAGGAGAGGGGTGGGGGTGGAGGAGGCAAGGGATGGGAGAAAGGGAACAGTATCCCAGAGGAGGCAGATTATGGTCACACATACCGGCATTTCATGTCCAGGAGGTGTGAAGCTTTACCTTCTGAGGGTAAAAACACCCGCTCTGGAGGCTGAAAAGTTGATGGAATTCAGATTAAGAGTCATGAATTCATCAGTGTTAACGTTCATATCGCATGAAATTCTGGTGGAAAGATGCTATTTTACTTCATGTATGATCAATTCCAACTGATTTGAGCTTCACAATTCATACAAACTTTGAGCTGCACATGTTTTATTGATGTGACAGAGGAAGGATGTTTGGGATATAAATAGAAATCGGACTGACACCTCTGTTATGTCAGGTACACCATATTTAACTAAACAGAATAGAGTGGGAAGAGAAGATCATCTGCTCATGTCCCAGTCTGGGCTTTAGAACTTTAGGTTCCCTTAGAAAAAAAAATACTAATCATAAGTAAAACACGTGAACATTAATATGGAATTTTTTATTTTGGGGCTGTGGGCTGAGTTCATAATATCTAATGGTGTTCTGTGAATACATTAATCAGCTTCCCCTGCACTCTGAACTGGCTCATATGAAGCGTGAACACACGAACAAAAACTGTGATGCATTTTTACATTTATTACATTCACAGCAAAACCAGAAGATAGACAACAGAGCCAAACACATGCATGGGACTCAGATTAAAGGCACGATATTCCTAAAGACTGACAATAAAAGAAATACCCAGTCAGGCATTAGTGATGACTCACGTTGAATGTTTGAATGTTTGAATGTCTGTCTCTGGAATGGTTGGGATTTCTTCTATGTGTGGTGCACCTGCATGGTGGTAGAGCTCCGTAACCTCAGGTTCCTGATCTGATCTGAACCAGCTGAGCACTCATAGATGCTCAAAATGGGATATTTGACAACAGCAGACTATAATGCAACTTACAGTTTCAGTACTACTCATTATGTCTGGATATATGTTTTGCATCTGACTAAACACATCAGGGTTTTCAGTTAGTGATACTGGAACCAAAGCTACCTATTTGTCAAAACTTCATCCACCTTCTTTATGTTTTGTTCTCCGCAGGATGAAGTTAAGGTCCCCTCAAAACTCTCCGTCTCAAAATCCATGAAGGTTTCTGACTCTGTGGCAGGAAGCAGAGGTGGAAGTCTGCTGGAACTCAAGGAGGGTGTGGAAGAACCTGCAGAAGAAGGAGGAGATGGTGAAAAAGCAGACAAGCCCCACGTAGAGCTTTCATCAGACGAGGAGGGTGTGGATCTAGAGGAGAGCATCGAAGAGTCCCGAGCAGAACGCATCAAGCGCAGCAGTCTGCAGCGCGTGCAGAACCTGAAGACTGTTTTCTCAAGGGAGAAGATGGACAAGACCCGAGCAAAAACCAAAGAGAACCTGGAGAAGACCAAACAAAAGACCAAAGAAAACCTGGAGAAGACGAAGCAGAAGACCAGAGAGAACCTGGAGAAGACCAAACAAAAAACCAAGGAGAATTTAGAGAAAACCAAACAGAAGACAAAGGAGAATCTGGAGAAGACACGTCACAACATTGAGAAGAAGATGGGAAAACTGGGAACACGAATGAGTGTAAACCCTGAGCGCAAACAAAAGATGAAGACCTCCACTGACAAGATGAAGAAGGCCTTCACACCAGACCATGTTGTGTATGCCCGATCCAAGAGCGCCGTGTACAAGGTGCCCCCCTTCACCTTCCATGTCAAGAAAATCCGAGAGGGTGATGTGGAGGTGGTCCAGGGAACCGAGATGGTGGAGGTGTCCAGAGAGGCTGAGACCTTTGAGGGCGTGGATGGTGAGCTAGACAACATGGAAGTGGAAGTTGAGATGGAGATGCTGAACGGAGGAGCAGATGAAGAGGAAGCAGAGGAGGACGGAGAGGAGGACAGCCACGATGCTTTGCCAGAGAATGAGGAAGAGGACAGAGACAGCGATTAGATGCTAAAGGACATGCTAACATTCTTATGAAACACTCTGCATCCACCCTGAGGTTCCCTCAGGAAAACTACACAACATCTTTTAAGATCAAGAGGATGGCTCCAGAAGAACTAAGGCTGGTTTTCTTTTTCCAGGTTTGGCAATCACACCAACAGTGAATAGAAAAGTACTGACCCCAGAATTGCTGATGGATTTATGGGGGGCAAACACTGCCCTGCTGAAGCCTGTATCTGCATTTTGGCTTCACTGTGGAAGTTTTTCAGCCCTTCAGAGATTCGTTCAAACAAATCTGGTCTAGGAGCCTCTCCAATGACCTGAAAACGTTGAGCTCCATCCTGGCTGGCAAGGCTTTGTGGCAGCTTTCACATTCACAGTTGGTATGAAAGCCAAAACAAGAAAAAGAAAACCAAGTTAAGGATGCTTTTACTAAGTTCTGCTGAATTTCTGCTCGCTGCATGCTTCACAATCCACACGTGAAGTCTTCACTGAGATGGAAAACCTTGTTCGGCCTTATTACATTCGGCAAAAGAAAATTGGAAGAAGATGAGAGCTGAGGAGAGGGTGATGAGACGAGCAACCAGGAATCAACTCTGTTTTCAGAAAATCCCATTAGCTTGAATCTTTTCTTAACCAAAACCTTCACAGCGAGAGAGGAGTGATACTCTCTCTGACTCTGTCCTAGACTGTAACCCATCTCATCCCCTAGGAGCAACATTAGTCTATAAACACACTTTGTCTTTTTGTAGAAAGCCTTTGCTTTTCAAATATCACATGCCTGCTTCAGTATTATCTTACTCTGCTTGACTCAAAGTATGTAGAGGCACAGCGACACCTGGGATCCTGTCGGGATCCGATGGGCACATGGATCTGGTTCTGTATGTACTCACACTGTGTGCTGCCTCCACCCGTCTCTGGAGGACTCCTTCACATGTTACTGCCACGCCCCCCAAAGTCTGCACAGCACAGAGGAGACGTAGCCCCTCAACACACCGACGTCTGTCTTCACCAGGGACGCCTAGTCCTGTTCATTTCTTCATTCAGACCTTTGATAGACTCTGTAAAAGTGCTGAGCGGGGGTGAGGCTGGAGGCTCTGTGCTGAGCGGGGGTGAGGCTGGAGGCTCTGTGCTGAGCGGGGGTGAGGCTGGAGGCTCTGTGCTGAGCGGGGGTGAGGCTGGAGGCTGGATGCCTTAAAGCCGGCTTCAGACCAGCTGTGGTCCCACACTGACCTCCAGTGTCCACACACTCCATCAGCCTAACGGCTCCCTCTGTGTTCCATCCATGGAGGAGACGCCGCACCAGGCTCGGCCTTTTCTAAGGTTTTCAGACCCATCCTGGAGGCCGAGCCGGGTGGGCCCCCACAGGGGGGGGAGACAGCCTGTCTGGCTGGGCAGCTGCTGTGTGTCTGTGCATCGAGAAGAGAAGCCTCACTGTTTCTGTGCTGTTTGGTTTGTAACTGATTAACCACTAACGACTTCCTGAATAAAATCAGTTTGGCTGACAGTCTCTGTGCGTTATTGTTGTCTAAAACTCAAAGTGGGGGTGGGACCTACAGGGGGACAGCCATGATGCTAAAGGACATGCTGACATTCTTATAAAACTCTCTGCATCCACCCTGAGGTTCTTCATGAAAACTACACACCCTTTTCTAGGATCAAGAGGATGGATCCAGAAGAACTAAGGCTGGTTCTTGTTCCAGGTTTGGCCATTACACCATCAGTGAATAAAAATGCCCACAAGTTGATTTCCAGAAATAAAATAAAAATGTAAAAACTAGAAATGGCATTTGTTAGCTATGATTGTAACACAAGATGTGGAGGCTGACCTCCAAACCCAGACTGGACCTCAGATCCAGACCAGATCCTCCTCATGCTCAGGTTACAGTTAATCCCGGTAAAATAATATTATGGCTGTTGTGTTATTTTGTGTTAATGTGCGTTTGGATGTGCCTATAATGTTTCTATCCATTTATAATGGGGGGTTAAGTCACCGATAGTTTAGGGGTCGTGGGCTGAGAGTTGTGGGATCTGGAACATTAATGCTCTCCGTATGGAATCAGAATCAGATTTACTTTATTAATCCCTTGCGGGAAATTGCAGTGAACCCGTTTACAGAATAAATAAATAAATAAATAAATAAACTTTACTATCAACAGTATTTAAGCTGCTCGGTGTCTAAATGACAATTGTTGCAAATAACCGGGTTATTGCATATAGTGAGGTATGAAATAAATAAATAATAAGTAATAAAATAAAAGACTGTCAGTGTGGATGGTTCAAATCCATCCAGTCCACATGTACATCCCCAGACCTCCACATGGGAGCAGCCCAACACGTGGAGCTGCCTTTGAACCATCCTCTGGGGGGCAAACAGAGGAACCAGCCCTCAACCAGGCAAGAGCTGGGTTAAACCTTTAAGGTTTAAACCCCTGAGCTGGCCTCAGGGCCAGGAAAGAGCTGGGTTTAACCTTTGACCCAGTCGGTCCCCCCAGGAAAAGCTCTCTGTTTCTGTGGTCCTCCACCCCAGCCCCCCCGAGAGGTCGGAGCCGTCAGGTGGCCCGCGGCCCCACAGCCCCCCCGGCGGCAGCTCCACCGGGCCCCACAGCCCCCCCGGCGGCAGCTCCACCGGGCTCCAGGGCCCCCCGGCGGCAGCTCCACCGGACACCTGCGGCTCCGCTGGGAGCAAACTCCGGGTAGCTGGTGAGAGCTGGTGTGAGAGCGGGAGGCGGGGCGCGAGGCGGCGGCGCGAGGCGGCCCGAAAACCACCGCAGCCTCCCAAACACCCGGAAATAGAGCTGGAGTCGCTGAATCCAAACGTCGGAAGAAACTCCAACACGCCTCATGCTTCCCTGACAGACATTTTATGTTGTGACCAACTTTTACCCTCCAAAACATCTGGAGAAACCTGAGATGAAAAGTTGTCTGTAAACATCATTATTTCCTCTAACTGATCCGACACCTGGACCGGGGATGGCAGCTGGCCTGAGGGGGATCTGAGGAGCTGGTGGGGCCGAGCTGACTGGAAGGAGAGCAGAGGTGAGCAGAGCCGGGGGGCAGGAGACGGGGCCGGGGCCGGGGAGGAGGAGACGGGGCCGGGGAGCAGGAGACGGGGCCGGGGGGCAGGAGACGGGGCCGGGGGGCAGGAGAGGGGCCGGGGCCGGAGAAAGGAGACGGGCCCGGGAGGAGGAGACGGGGCCGGGGAGAGCTCCACTCCGCCCCGCACACAGAGCAGCTCGCGTCGGGCTCCTTCTCGGCTAGCCGGGCAGCACCCTGGGGGCTAACGGGCTAACGTATGGTGCTCAGCCCCCAGAGCCTCCGGTGACGGTTAAAATCCACCACGTCCCGCCCGGACTGAGCCCGTGGGCGGTTCCGTGGAAACAGCCCTGGTCCGGGTCCTGGTTCGGGCTAGGCTCTTTCGGTAGGCTAACCCGTCCTGTCCAACAAGTTGGGCTGAACTCAGACAGGAAGTCAGGCGGCGTGTGGAGCAGAGCAGTGAAGAAGTGAGCTGGGGGCATTTGGAGAGTTAGCAGAGGGACTGGACCCTGTCAGCAGGAAAGTTCAAGTTCAAGATCCAGATGGGCCGTCCAGCCGCCCTAAGACCACCTGAAACACTTTAGTCCACTGTGTGTGTGTGTGTGTGTGTTTGTGTGTGTGTGTGTGTGTGTTGTGGTGCTATCCCCGGTCGCCCCCTCTCAGTGTACCCAGCCCTGGCCCCATGGGGAGGCCTGAGGGGGCCCGGGGCAGCCTGGGGGGGGTAGCCTGTGGGGGGGGCCTGAGGGGGCTGTCTGGGGGGGGTAGCCTGAGGGGGCAGCCTGAGGGGGCCTGGGGCAGCCTGGGGGGGTCGATGTGGGAGCAGGCTCTCCCCACAAACCGGGCCGGTGACAGCCAGGGTCCGAGGGGCGGGTGGAGCTGGGGGGCTCATCTGGAGGAACATCTGTCTCCCCCTTTGCTCTTACAGCCACACGAGACTCGTTCAGGATGAAAGTGTGTGTGAAATGAACTCTAACTCTACGGCTGTGGGGGGGTTAGGGCTCTGACATGACACGCCTCATCAAAGGTTTTTTCATTCTGGCTGCTGCCCCACTAACTGTCCCCCCCCC